AAACACTTAAATTTTTCTCCTCAAAACTAAAGCTAAACATTAGGATAGCTTGGGAAGTCACCGGGGTTCTCCTCTGGATCCATGACATCTTCTAGTTCTTCCTCCTTTGGATTCTACAATAAAATGTTCCAAATTTGAATCAATCCCCTTTCACACCTCTACGTCCGATCTCATTGAGGAGTCCTACCCTTTGAAATTCCTTGAAGATAATATTTCTTGATTTTTATCGAGATTCTTCTTAGGTGACTTTGGTCATTTAAGATGTAATTAATTATAAGGGCTTGCCCTTATAGGAAACATGTCTGAATCCAACTTAATATAAACCCTATTTAATCCTTTATATTAAATATAGGAACTTGTCAACAAATATAAAGGTTTCGCAGACCAAACGGATGTCATATATTCCTTAGTTTTTTTTATCGAGTCTCATCCTCAAGTCTTGTGTTTGCCCTTGGGGATAAATACAGGATTTGAGGTCCATTGCTCTTTCATTTAAACTATGAAAAGTATGGGGTCAGTTTGATTTCATATTTTTCTAAAACTAAATATATATGTAAATTAAAACGTCCTTCCGAAGCGGGCATCAGGATTTCGATTCCGGTGACCGACAACTTCTTACGGGCAACACTCCTCCAACCAAAAATAGCACTGACAGGGTGGGAAGATGAAGAAGCATGCCGCCATTAGCTTCTTGACTGCTCCCTGGAATGATGGGTGTTGTAGTGAGATGCTTAGTTGTCATGAATATTGTGTCCGGTAACCATATATTAAGCCTAGTAAGTACTTCAGTAGTGAGATTGAAGTCTCCCATAGACGACACTAAACAAATGCATGCTAGAAAATTTGTGGCGGCAGAGTAATGGATTGTTATTTTAGCATTGCATGAGAATTCAACACATACTCAGATAAAAAAAAAACAACTAGTAGTGATTTCAATAGTTCTTACGCGGAAAGCTCATAAAGGGAAAAAACTATGGGGCCTAGCCCAACTAAAAAAATTAACAATAAACTGGATATTACATGTACAGTCCCTTGTCTTACTGGTGAGAAATGGTTGAACACTCTTCGAAGTTACAACTTCAGTGCACAAAAACTTGTAAGAAGTGAGTGGCCGATGGAGATCGGTGGAGGCCGACAGGTGGTGGTTGTCGGTGGTCGGCGATGGTCAAAGGCGGTTGACAATAGTTGACTGTGGTGGACGACGGTTGACAGTGATCAATGGAGGTCGGCAGTAGTCGACAGTGACTGGAGTGATGTTGGAATTTAGCTCCTCAAAACTTAAGCTCTTCTTCATACTTCAAGCACCTCCCCCCATGAAGGGGGTAGGACTTTATTTACTGTGTTCTGGGTGCAATTAAAACAAGAATATGAGTCATTTTGATCGGATGGTCCAGCAATCTTTCTTTATAACTCATCTTAGGATTCTGAGGTTGTTATCTGTCACGACCCCATCCGTCACGACCTAAATCCTCACACCTTCCAGGATATTCATGTGATCGTTTCACACGAATGTAAGTCCTAACTAATAAAATTAGCAGGATGAAACACTTCAATTTTTCTCCTTAAAACTGAAGCCAAACATCAGGATAGCTTGGGAAGTCACCGGGGTTCTCCTCTGGATCCATGACATCTTCTAGTTCTTCCTCCTTTGGATTCTACAATAAAATGTTCCAAATTTG